ATAATTAAACAAAATGCCTCTTGAGGGCATGAAGTGACAAAAACTTTCAACATGTCTCCATTAAACACCATTGTAAGTTCAGCCTCATCTTTCCCCACCACAGCAGCCGCACACCTTTAGTTAATCTGTGAAAAAGGCCACATTATGAACCCGAAAGTACACAAAAAGCACACTTCAGATGCTCAGAGTTCTTGAGATGCTTCACGCGTTGAAATGTCACCGATATCTGTTACGGTTCTTCAACAAAACGTTCACATGTAACAGGTTTATCTTTCATTCAGAACAATGCAAACGCTCTCCTCTCACCGATTACTGCACCATGGAAACATTTGATCTCTGGGCTCAAGTACAGGTGTTATGGTAACGTCGTTAGCTGAAATATAAACACCTGTGTCATGGAACACGATGATGTCATAACTCCAACTGACATGCTCAGAGCAGCAGACTTCAGATAATGGTTAACAAAGCTCTACATCAAATCTGATGTTACGTAATGTGGTGTTACTATGGCAACGCCTCGCCATAAAACAGCAGCAGACTTCAGCTAATGGTTAATGGTCCTGCCCTCAACAGCTCTACGTAAATGATGGGGTGTCATCATATGCCGTTTCCATCCCTCGCCATGAAACACGATGTCGCTCTAACTCCAATGGACACGGTCCGATCGTCAAAAGCTGTTGCCATGGCACGATAAAACACGATATTGCTATAACTCCTATGAAAATGGTCAAAAAGTGCTCAAACTTCACATGTGTGCTAACAGTCCAGCCGTGAAGACATCTATTTGACAGTTTTAAGATTTCTTCAAATGCCGTTGCCTTGGCAACACAATGCTCACTATGAAACACGGTTTTCTCACAACTTCAGTTCAAATGCTCGAAATGGCCCAAAACTTCACAGGTTTGGTAACGATGCAGCCATCAACACATAAGCGTATTATGGGGTGTCTTCAAATGCCGTTGCCATGGCGACAGATCATTCGCCATCAAGTTAGTTCAAAAGTTTGCAGTTCAAATATTCTGCTGCTTTTCCAAGCCTTTTTACTTTCTTTTCTTCTTTCATCACACATTCAAGCCCCCAGTGGTCATGTATCATTTCAATCTAAATTCTTCACTCTCTTCTTACACATTACATTGCAGCATAGCAATTTAGCGTCAGCTTTTCAGCATAAAGCATTCCCACTAGCAATTTCTTCAGGAATTGCATTCTCTAGTTATAAGTAGTCTTTCAGTTTTAAAATGGGTCGTTTTGGGCAGAAATGTGCAAAGCTTGACAGTACAAAGGAAGAGTTTGTAGTGTAGAGATAAATAGTCACATAAGTTAATGTTACAAATGTAGCATGTATTCTGCAAATGTACTACATCCTTAATGTTAATGTAGTAGATTAAAAATGTAGCATATTGTACTTTTTACAACAAAAATAAAATGTACTTACACATTTTTTACACCAAACACAGAGTTAATGTTCCAGCCATGACACCATTAGGGAGAGGGAAAGTACCACATTCATCCAGAGGCCTCACACAGAGCAAGTGATGCTGGGAATGAGGAGTCACCATCCTGTGGGGTGAAGAGGAAAAATACTTTACGGGAAAGAATATCTGTTAATGAGAACACTGGCGAGGAACCTTACATGTGTCTGTGTGTGTGTGTGTGTGTGTGTGTGTGTGTGTGTGTGTGTGTGTGTGTGTGTGTGTGTGTGTGTGTGTGAGTGAGTGGGAGTGAACATGAGGCATGTGTGCTAACACTCAGACTTTATAAACATGCATACGGGAACAGTATTTGGGGGATTTTTTTGCATTCCCGACATTCTTTCCTGTGAATTTCCAGTCAAAGCTCTGACATCACGAGGGGGTTCCACATTCAGCTCCCGCTCGCTCAATATCCCACCCATATTTGGAAGTGAGAGGAAGGGAATCCCAGATGATGACTCAAAGGCTTCGGCTGCCAAGGGGAATTCTCTCCACATCTGTTTTTGTGTGTGTCTGTGTGTGTGTGTGTGTGTGTGCAGTCTAGTATTAGTGTGTACATTATGTCCTTGATTTGTGGGGATTTCAATATGTGGCTTTGACAGCTGCATGACAAAGCTGAATCTATACAGAAAAAGTAGCACCCTGCGTGATGCTGTCTTTCTATTTATAACCTGCTTCTCTTGGCAGCCATGACAGTTACAATTCGTGATTATGAATGCTTATGAAATCAGCTTTTTCACTTTGGACATTCTGAAAATAAAAGATGAAGCCATAACAAACTCTAAGAGGAGATACTTCACCATGGTCTGAAGTTAATCATTTGCTTACATCTTATCTTGTGTGCGTTATCTGTCATGTTTTACCTTCACACTAACACAGTAGCAGGACAGTGTCTGTGTGTCACTATGGAAACAGAATGTTGTCAGTTACTGTCTCCAATGGTTTTGTTGTTGAGTTTTTAGCTGTAATGACACACCTTGTTTAGTCATATTGATGGGTAAGTGGTTTTACTCTGTCTTCTCACAACTCCTACAAAGTGGGTAAAACTACTCCTTATGTAATGCAGAGCCAGTGATGGAAAAATGTACCTATACCATATTTTAAAATACTCTGTAAGTAAATGTCCTGCATACAAAATCTTACTTGAGTATCTCTATCCCCCTAAGTGTCTCAGTCGTAGAGCTCAATTAGTAACTAATGCTGTCAAATAAACAGATTAAAAAAGGTACAATGTTGGCTTCTAAAATGTAGCAGAGTAGAAGTATAAAGTAGCGTAAATTGAAAATATCCACGGAAAGTACCTACAAGTAGCTCAAAATTGTCCTTAAATACAATCCCACCACTGTGCCCAGCACACATGGTAGCGACATGACAGTTTGAGGCTGAGTCGATATGTAAAGCTGTAACCAGTCACCCTGCATTGGACCACCACCACAAATGAGGCCACAGAGATGGATAGGACCATGGGGCTGTTCAATGTGCTCAGCAGAGTGTGACCAACCGTCCACTGCCTGCTGGCTGCAATAAATTCTATACCTCCACGGAAAAGTTTATTGGAATCATCTAATTTCTAGAAAGAAGTAGAATGCTCAAAATGAATTTCATGGGGAAGGAGGAAGGGGAGATAGACAGATCAGACTTTGGTTATGTTGAATTTCTCATGCTCGTTTTTTCTTATATTTAGGATGGCTTTTATCTTGACTTTCTCTTTGTTGGAAGTCTGACGGATAAGGATTTCTGTGTGGGAAAGGGGTCTAAGATTTACGGTCTAAGAAGCCATATTGGGGCCTAAATTTAGACCCACTTTGTTCTCCTCTGCATGCTGGTGACAGAGGACTCGGCTCTCTGGGGCTGCCTGTGGTCCAGCGTACCAGAAAGACCGCTGTTGTTCTCCCTGGCAGTCAGAAACGCAGACGTTCCCTCAAGCAACCCAAAAAGAAAGAAAGCTTTCATGGAATATTCTGTTTAGCCGCACAGACTGTTGTGTATGATACTCCCGGGACCCATAACACAAGTAATTCACAGACAATATCTCACCCACGCTCTCTTTGCCACAGACTACAGCACCATAAATCTATCTGATTTCAAGGAGGAGACAGTGTTCAAAGGGTTGAGAGCGTATGTTGATCGAATCTGACCTAAAAAAAAGTGATACAAGGCACAATAAACTGAAAATGCAGAAAAAGATCACAGGAAAATGAGCAAGTCAGAGAAACATGAAACCATAAGTCACCCTGCGTAGGATCTATAGCTTTCCTCTACGTCATGCTGCTCCACCACAGGGACACTGTATAGGCAATGTTTAAAACTCAGTCACCAGTACACAAATCCCTCCCATCCTCATTACCAAAACAAACTAATTAAAAACCTGTTAATAGGATGTGCTGTGGGTGTCTTTAGGGGAGAGGGAAATCAACAACTCAAGCCATATATATCAGAGGGACCCCCAAACAGTTTAACAATCTGATGACACAGCTAAAGTCATCTAATTGGGATGAAAACTCACCCAAGCACAGTCGTGTCATACATAGTCGTTTGAGCATGCACATGAACAGTGAGAGAAGGAGAAAAAACAAAACAAGTGACTCACTGAAAACCAACTGGGACACACAGTGTCATATCCTGAGAGAGAGAGTGAGAGATGCCCTCCTCTCACTGAAGGACAGATGGATCGCCCAATCTGCTGTGTGCAAGTGTGCCAAAGGACAGTGGTGGAAGAAGAAGCCTATGCTGATCTTAAGTGGAAACAGAAGTACTACAGTGCAGGAATACATTGTCACAGGTAAAAATCCTGCATTACAAATAATACTATAATTAAAATAGAAATGTATTAACATTAAATTGTATTAAATGAAACATTTTGATCATGCAGTGGGTAAAGGTGCAGCAAATTGTACATGTCTCTGACAAGATTGGCATACAATAATGTATCATCCTTTATGAGTTGATTTCTCTTAGATGTAATAATATGAATATTTAAAGTAGTAACAGTAGTTGTCAAACAAATGTAGTGGAGTAACATCTACAAATTTGCCTTTGACATGTATTGGAGTAGAAGTATAAAGAAGCATGAAATACTACACTAGACCACATGTATACTGCCTCATAAAAAGTACTAAAGTATAGTAAGTGACTGGAAGGAACACTACTTACTTACTTTATTGCTAATTGTGAAGATCAAAAGGTTATTTAGAAACCTCAGTTCAGTGACTGTACTGTAAACTGTGCAGAAAAACGTTAGCATGTATTTATATCAAAGTTCTTGAGCGACATCTCGCGGTTTTACGTATAAACTACATGTTGAATCACGTCACAACGGAATGTTCCACTGTATTAAAAAGGGGGAAAGAGTGTGAATTAAAAGTCTATCATCGTAAGTTTTTCGCTTCTTTTTGAACTTGTTTCGAGACTGCAATATCTACTTTACTTTAAAACGCGTTTATAATCGCTTGTTTTAAGAATACAAATAAAAATCAGCCGTTAGCGGTAAAATGAAAGTATTGTTTTCACCTGTGTTAGTAACGAAGAAAGTGCTCAGAGATACAGGCGCCTTTTCTGAGCTCATGTTGTAGGCCGACTGTTTTTAGCCACAATTAGCTTTCAGTCAACAGTAAGCCATCACTTCAAGTTTAACAATACAACATGGCTACTAAAAAGAAGCGAATGCCTAATATGCAAAATGACAGCTGGGTTGTCATTGCTGCAGGTACGTGAAACAGTCATTCAATTTATGCTCACTAACTAAAACTAGCTTGCTATTTCACGTTACGGAAATACAAAAGTTATTGATAACTGTCACCACGTAAATTACTCTACTAAAGCTTACATTTGAGTTATTATGCTTAGCTTTAACCACGCATTACAGGCACTATTGCATTACTACTTTGAGGAAGTCTAATGGAGGATCTTTTGTTTTGTTTTTGTGTCCCCAGACTCTGCCATCGACACACAGAAGCACGACAGTGAACCAGCTTTTGTGAGACTGAGGAACCCCGTTACAGGCAAGTCTTGTTATACATCTATTTATGGCTGCAACTAACAATATCATAAGGCACTGAACAATGTGCATGATACGTTTAAATAGCCCTAGTGCACGTTATAAAAGACAAAGCATTCAAGGTTTTGTACAGCACATTTTAAAACCTTAGAAAATGTAGTTTGTATACAACAAAACTCCACATGGCCCTTTATAATGAATCAAATGTGTTGAACATCAAGGATCAAAGTGAGTGTTTGATGCTGCCCTAACCAATCTAAAACTGTTTTAACATAAAGTCCACATATGATTATTGATAACACGAGGATGTGTAAAAAACCCAGCAGTCTAATTCTGTATCTTGTGCATTTGCAGATGTGGTAGTGAAAGTAACTGTTCCTCTTTTGTTTTGTCCTGCAGATGCAGCGTCTCTGTATATGTTGAGTGGTGGTGATGTGCAGCTGTTTGAGGTCAAAGCGTTTGAAGAAGATTTCCACTCCTGGTTTGTTGGCCAGACTGTACAGAGAGGTTGGTTTCATGCGTCATTACAGTGTGAACTCAAGCTAATCATAATCATACACACTGCTACATTACTTTAAGTCTACTATTTGCAGTAATTCTAAGTAGTAGTAGTAGCAAATAGTTTTGTACCAAACACTTTGAGCAGCTTGGTTCCACTTACAGAGGAACAGTGTCTGTATATTATGATGACATTTGCCAAGCACAGACAAACAACATCTAGAAAGACGAACTGCTGACACAAAATAAGTATAACCATCAGGTCTGTGATTGACAACAGGTTCCTAAAAAAACACACACCTTTATAACTTTAAATATTCAGAAATGCTGCACCGTTATTCTGTAATTTTACATATCGTCAAGATTTAACCATGTGTTTATTTCATCAACAGATGGGAGACTTCTCTTAGTAACACCAATGGATCCTCTCTATCTAATGTTGCCCTATTTGGTCAAAGTGGGCAAAGAGGTAAGAAACAGAAAAAGTAAAAGTGTGTATACTCATTTTGAAATTGTCAGAAGGTGTCAACGCTGGTGATTTGATATCACATTAGTGCATTTACTGTACCAGGAACGGCTCTCTGCAATGGCTGAAGCTACATCCTTATCAAAGTCGGGCTGTAGTGTTTCTGTAATTCGGCTGACAAACAAACAACCATCTTAATAGAAGTAATAATTACAGGGATGGCCTGATACGACTTAAGCATTGTATAAATGATTGTAAATAAGTTCAGTAATTGAAATGTTGTAACTTACTCCTCACATATGAAGGACGTTTAATGATCTTTTCCCTCTGCTCAGGGGAAGTTCCAGCCCTTGGATCAGGTCGTTATGGACGAGGACTTCCCGGGCCTGTCCGAGGCTGCTGAGCTGCACACGTGCCCTGTCCTCCCTGCACCACATTGCAGAGGAAAAAGGTGGAGTTTATTATATATAATATAATGTTCCTCAGCTATTATGCTGATTGCATTGTTTAAATATTGTGTTTCATAATTCCAGAGGTGGGAGGAGTCAAGTTTCATCGCTACAGTCAAGAGAAGACGATGAATTGGTTGAAGAAAAAGGTAAAAGCTCACCTTATTTTAGATGAACCATTTTTGTTCAGTCATTAGAGAGCAAGTTGTTTTTACTTCAATGCTACTCAAAAATATCAGAACAAATGTGTGTGTAAAAAAGCACAGTTAGTTTTACAAAGCAGAATTTCATACCATTTTTGTAACTTTTTTTTGTTTGTAGGTGGAGAGGACAGTCACTGTGCTCAAAGCGAGAAATATATCTGTGGGAGAAGGAGTCAAATCCACAACCTACATCAGAGTGAAGTCCGAGTCAGACTACCGTCCAGGTGAGTCACTTTTACTTTACACCACTTCCCTATTATGTCCCATCTCAACACTGTGGGAAACTCCCGTCTCACCTTCCTATGAAAATAGAAGCAGGATATGATGTTGACCAATAGATGGCAGTGATATTGCACCGTTTACATCTAAGGGTTATAAACCTCAAACAACATTTTCCCCACCACTAAAGTATTGTTGATTACTGTCAATGTGTTTGATACAGAGGACTTCCTACGCTACGCTCATGGCATCCTATCAGAGTACCTCAGTGAAGACCTCAGCAAAGCCCTCCTCAAACACCTGCAGTAAGTTCAGACATCTGTTACACTTATAATCTTAATAATTAACAGATATAGGGGTGATCAAGCATGCCTTTTTCTACTCCACAGGTTACCAGAGCTCACAAGCCCAAAGGAGCCAGAACCTCCTTCCAAGGTATGTTAGCGGCTCTCTAAGAAGTGTAACGTTAATATAGCTGTTATATACTCTTTCTGCATGCTTTAAACTCAGTGTGTTCTTTCTGTAGCGCTCCACCTCACTAACATTGTGGCATTGTGCTTGTGTGTTTTAACCCGTGCTGTACGGTGCTTAGTGGGTGTTCTCGTAATAAATGGTTGCTCTTTGTCATGAAAAGCTTGTCTTACTTCCTCTTTCTGCAGAAGCGGAAACTTTCTGAATTACCTGTGGAGGCTGAAGAGGACTACACTAAATTCAACAGTGCAGACTTTGCGCGGAAAGTGAGTTTATACAGAGCTGCCTGAATAGACCAAACAATCAATGGAGGAATCTGAGGCATTGATCACTTGCTTTGACTACATCCTAATTTATGGGCTTATCTTTGCTTTCATCTCTGCAGTGTCGAGTACAAAACCTTGAGTGATTGTTAGCATAGCTCTTGTTTGTTGAAGGTCTTCTTTAAGCTTTGTGTGTAGTACACATGGGTTATCTGGCTTACCTTGCGGCGACATGTTTTTCTTAAATGATGTGTGATTAATTCCCTACTGTGTCTCTGCAGAGGTGTTGAGTTGTATGGTATTGATCTTTTTCGCCCTTTATTCCAGCCGCCAAAGAAGATGACTGCAGCTCAGAAATCTCTGGCGAAAGTGGACAAAACTGGCATGAAGTCGATGTCCTCCTTCTTCAGTCCCAAAGTCAAAGCAGAAAAGAAGTGAATGTTGTTTAGTTCCTGGTTTTGTATATGAAACATTTGTAATAAAGAAAATGTATTGGACATATGCTCTTCATTTCGATTCATGGTTTGAATGAGAATATTTGCATGTAAATTAGCATTTTAACCTCATTATTGTTTGTATTTATATACGACTCTACAGTACACATTTGTTATACTTCTACCTCTTAAGATATACCCTTTTCTCCAGTACATGTATTTCTTTAGTTACTAGTAACTTGATATCAGCTTTAACAAATCGCTCGCATGCTGGGCAAATACATCCAGAAATACCATCATTGCACATTACAAAAATGTCACTTTTTTTCTTATTGGGTGAATTGACCCTTTAAAGTCAAAGTCAGCTTTTTTGTCAACATTTCTACATGTGGTATACACACAGACATCTTGAAATACCTTTTCTCGCAGTCCATTTTAACTTCAGGAAACGAACGGAATAACCTTAGCTGGTTTTGAACTTTTTCAGTCAGTGCAGCCTTGGGACTCGCCTTACAAACCCAGTCGTCTCAGACTTTTGGTGCAGGAGGGAAACATGTTTACCTTTCAGCCGGGCTTGAAGGACATTGTTGCAATTTACCTCTGGCTTTGATTCCTCAATTCAGTTTAAAGGACATTTGAACAATGCTACTGATGCATGGGTTGAAGGCAGGCGTATTGTGAGATGTCTTTAAAGAAGTCTCATTTATAGTGGCATATAATTGATACATATAAATCACATAATTAATTTTATATTAACTTGCTAAGGTTTAAAGCCCTGAAACAAACAACACTTGATTGGCTTTTCACAGAAGATGTATTGACATGTCAGAACTGGAAGGAAACCAGAGAAGGTCATTTCTGAAGACACTGCAGCGTGAATAGTGGATGTTGAAAAGCAGACACTAAACTGGATTGCTGGCTTTTATAATAGAATATAGTATTAATGGAGTTTCTTGCTGAAAGTGTGATTATGTAGACGACACTTTATGAATTTGAATATTTCCAAGTCTTGTATGTTTCAGCTTTTCAAATAATTGCATCAAATTAAGCTGAAGCGTACTTTTTTAAACTGCTTCTCAGTGCAAATATTACTAAACCAAGAGAGAAAAGACTTTGCCGAGTGCATTGATGTAGATTTTATGTGAGGATGGGAGCAGTTAAATAAACATTGTCTGCTTCCTTCCAGAAACATCCTGTCTGCAGCTCCTTGTTTCTCCTCTCACTTTCAGGCTCGGTGCCAGATGTAGAAGTCTGTCTGCTTCAAATGCTACATTTTTGTATCCTAAATTATGTTCTGAAAATGTTTAAATAACACATTTTAAGATTTTTCTTATCATGCACTTTTGGAATGTTTTGATGTTCGAAGGAAATTTGTAAGCTGAATATTTGAAACATGTTTAGTGCCACAGTAAAGATAACATGAGAATAATAATTAAGAGTTGAAAGAACAAAGACAGTGAATAGAGATGGCTGCCTGTAGCTGATGATGGACTTCTGCTGATCGCGGCTGAATTCATGCTCCTAGTTTTGGGGTCATGATATTGTGCATGCTGGTTCTTCGTAACAGTATCAAGGCTTACTGGCAACCTTGAATACAACGGAGAAATCGTTCATGTTCGCAGTGCAAACCATTGTCAAGTCAAAATGTCTGAGGGTAAAAAAAGGAAGTATGTTGTTGGCTTGACCGATATCTTTTTTTTTACAATTTGCTTTATTACAATTATTTTGAGGACATATTACGCTAATTTCAGGTTCATATTTGTATTTTGTGCTTTGAGTGTTACGTAGAGATGTCACAATGGAGGCATTTCAGAGTGTGTGGGATTTCAGCCTTCGCAGACCATTTACATGCACACAAATCTATATAACTAAAGGAAAGGGAAAACCCCAAAAAGCACTATAGGGCCTCTTTAATTGTCCGGATGGAGTTTGAGCAGAGCATAGTGCAGGTCCATACGAACTGGGTTGAGCTCTTCGTCAGCAGAGTGGCAGTGCCGGTGGTTTCGAATGTCCATCAAGCTTCACTGCTTTTTTAATTTGGGTTTGAAGCGCAGAGTCTGGAATGCGCTCTCCACCACTTTGGGCAGATGGATCGGGTTCCTCTGCAGCCGCAGTCTGCTGCTGGTCGACCCGCTCTTGTTTTTCTTCTTAGAGACACTTTCCTTGGCACACACGTGAACTTCCTTCTGCTTGGAGTCATCCGCGACCCGAGGAACCCGTAGGACCCAGTTAGAGTGGAGGTCGTGTTCGGCAGAGCTGGAGGCCACTGTGGGAGAGAGCAGAGCCGAGGGCAAGCACATTAGTTGAAGCTGAGGGCAGTCGTTTTGTGACCAGAAGCTTTCTTTACTGGACATTAAGAATCTGAACCATTTAACTCAGCAGCAGCCGTTTGTATCGGATTCATTTGTTGATGTATAGATAATAGGGGTGTAACGGTACACGTACCCGTACCGAAATTATTCGGTACGGGCCCTTCGGTTCGGTACAGGTGTGTACCGAAGTGTACCGAACGAATATAACGTTAAACGTAAACAATTGAGAACGTGAACAACTTTTTGGAAGTAATCTCAGGTGCTGCGTCGCAGCATTCAGAGTAATTTGGTCACATTGGGTTCAACGCGTCATAGAGCGAGCAAGTCATTTCATTGGATGAGAGGCATACTATGAGAGCTGGTCAGAGGGATGCGTTCAAATGTAGTCAGTAATTTGAGGAACTGTCGAAAATGAATGGCGAACGCAGATAAAGTTGAGCTCGAAAATCCTCCAGCATCATTGAAGTCTCCGGTTTGGGAACATTTTGGTTTCGCAGTTACGAACAAGGATGAAGGACAAAGACAGGTGGACCGAACCAAAGCTGTTTGTCGGCATTGTTCAACTAAAATTGGTTACGCGGCTGGCAATACATCAAACTTGCACACTCTTGAAAAGGCATCACCCGAACGTGAATATCACCGGTATCAAAAGAAAAAAGACTGAAGTGCAAACCCAACTCCCGCTAGCATTTAAGCCTCCACCACTCGCAAAAAGATCAGACCGAGCCAAAGCTATTACAAACGCCAAATATCCTTATGTTGCCATGTTAGCAAAGCGCTACCTGGCTGTATCTGCTACCTCTGTCCCTAGAGAGGGTGTTCTCCACAGCAGGAGACATTGTTAGTGCCAGCAGATCTGCCCTTTCGGCAAGCAATGTGGACAAGTTCATTTTTCTTTAAAAAAACATGAAAATACAATGACAAGCAAGTCATAATGTCAAACTGGCTGCTTAGGAACTGGAGTAACAGTACAGTTCAAATACAGATTATTTCAGTTAATCGAAAAGCTGCACCTTAATGTTTATTTTATTATATTTTGTATTTATTTAAGTGAATATTCACAGTTTAATAATAATTAAAAACCCAAAACTAATAGTTTATGTTTTGTGAGTACTAGTAGCCTACAGTAAAGTTCAAATACAGATTATTTCAGTTCATCGAAATGCTGCACCTTAATGTTTATTTTATTATATTTTGTATTTATTTGAGTGAATACATTATTCACAGTTTAATAATAATAAAAAAAATATATATATATATGTTTTGTTCTGTGAAAAAAAATTCTGCTGTACCGAAAACGTACCGAACCGAACCGTGACCAAAAAACCGAGGTACGTACCGAACCGAAATGTTTGTGAACCGTTACACCCCTAATAGATAACCATCTGGAAAGATTATCTTACAAATGATGTCATGCTATCTCAATCTTTAACACACTACATGTCATTTTTGTTGCCATGATGGGCTAAAATAAGTAGGAGTTTGTCGGTGTTGTGAAGTAGTGTGGGATCATGGGAGATGACATCCTTTGTTGTCTTTGCAGTCATATTCATGGTTAGGATTCTTTTGGAATTCCATTTTCAGGTTTTTAACCCCTCTACAGAAATACTCACGAGATCTCCTCCTCTCCAAACCAATGCACACGTTAGCAAAACGGGTGAAAACAATTAACCGTATCGTTTTATGTAACAAATCTGTGTTTCCCCAGTGGAAAAAGGACACAGGGACAGCTACGTTTCCTCTGCTTGTTTCCCTGATAACATAAAAATCTAGACGTCCGACAACTAAACCCTTAATGTAGGTAACATATAGTTAAAACAACAAAGACCTAAATATATACCATTACATACACTATGCGGCTGTGAGGTGGTGCGGTCGAAAGGGTTGTTGGTTTGATTCCTGGTCCTGCAGTCAACTAAACCCCAAATTGGTGTGTAAATGTTAGCTTCCTTGAACTTCATTGTTATTGTATTAAATAATTTATTGGGTTCAAATTGTGACTGCATTCATATGAAAGCAACTTTGTTTAATAACTAATAGAAGATGCAAATATATATAATAAAGTACAATTATTGAGCAAATATACTGATATGACATGACAACCCTGATCATCTCTCATTCACAGTGGTGGAAGAAATGTTTAGATCCATTAATAAATTAAAAGTAGGTGAATGTTATATTTTGTGTAGCAAGTATCCAAAGTGAAATAACCAAAGTCCTCATTAGGCATAAAAACAATCCCAGTTATCTTTGCATTTTAATTTATTGTATCATGGGCTAATTATTATGAATGCACTTTCATTCCACCATCGATTGTCTAACCCTGAATACAACCATGTTTAGTGTCCAATCTTTATTTAGTAGTAGAAGGCTTGCAGGCCCTAAACCCCAGCACCATTTCAGTTATAAAAAATCATTCCAAACTCACCTATGAAGTCCACATCTGCGTGTCCATCATCCATATACGATTTTCGCAGAGGTTCGCTGTCACAGCCGGCGATGACAGCATCAAAGAACTGCAGCGAGTCCTCCACGTTGGGGACGGGAGGCGCAGAGGGTTTGGCTCGTGATATCTGCGGGGAAAAAAAACAAAAAACCGGGAGAACATTTGTCTTTGATATTGCCTGCCATGTGCTCTGCTTTGGATGATTGAAGCTTACCGTTCCTTCCTTTGTAGGCGGAGGAGGTGCATGCTTCTTCTTGGAGGACACTGTGGCCTTGGAGTCCTTACTTTTGAAATCACTCACGCTCTTTGTGTACTGCCGTCTCAAAGCCACAAGTGCTTCCAGGTACTCCAGGCAGTTCTGATTCTGAGAGTAGAGCCAAATCCTGTCCTCTTGTCTCTGATAGTAGTACAAGGTCGACTCGATGCTCACTGTGCTTTTGCTGCGTTTCAAAGTGGAGCTCACGACTTGAGTTTTCTCTCCCACCACGAGCATGGAGGTGCTGCGGACCAGCCGGACGGTGCAGGCGCTGTGGTAGTCCTGCTCAGACCGAACCCCCCCCGCGTCCCGCACTCCGGGTCCGTGTTGGTTGGGACGAAACACATTGTTAATCTTCTTGAACATCCCTCTAAACAAAGTATGTCAGGGTCGCAGACGTGTCCTTAGGTTCCTTAGAGTTGGTGAAGCATCTATCCATATTCAGCCTCCTTAAAGCCAGACAATATGTCTCAGAGGAAACACAACTTCACTGGAGCTCTTCACTGTTGCTGTCCAGGGTGCTGAAATGGCTGCTCTCTGGTGACACAAAAGCAGGTCAGAGTTTCTGGTAGTCTTTAATGTTTTGGGGTGTTGCTCAGCGACATCGCTGTGACAACAGGTCGGTAACCCTACACTTTGTGCTGCCATTACTACTGCGCAGCCGGCCTGTGTCAGATATCCTGAGTCATACGGGACTCAGTGGGCAAAATAACAACAACCAGCAGTCTGACTAACTGTAGCTGCACCTCTTGAGGCAGTGAATGCTTCTTTAATAAACAACACAGCATAAAAGAAGATGTTAAAGTGTTCACATTCCTGGGTTCTAATTCAAATGTGATAAAGATCAGAAGATGCTGAGAGGTGAAGCTCTTAAAATGCTTGTGTCTTTATGAAAGATGAAATAAGAAGAGAAAATAGAAGAATCTATATCAAAATAATACATTATGTGAACCACTTGGATACTGTTACAAACACCAGAAGTGATATGATGTTTGCTTATGTCTAGGTTTCCTCACCTGATTAATAATAAAACACGCTCTCTCGTGTTTCATGTGCCTCTAATGATGTCTTCCCTGCTGAAGGCAGAAGACGTCTGAATACAAGAGTCTGAACTGAAGCGAGGCGTACATGCAGACAAGGAACTGTCACTTTGGAAAAATCCCGACACATGAATATCTAAAGCTGGAGAGTCTCCATTACTGTACCAGATAACTGATTTAAAGGATCGATGATTCAAACAAAAGGAGGGGAAAAAGTGGGGAAATTAAATATCACCGAAAGGCACAATCATGTTTACGAAAGCAACAGCATTTACTTAGCTGAGGAGGAGTAATGGTTTCAAGGAGGAAATGAAGAGTTGTGGTTACCTAACACAGCACAAAGTCACATTTCTGCTTTTGCCTGCAGACACAGGAGTCAAGCGAGTAGCTCTAAAATGCAGTTATTCAACATAAAAGCCTCAAATAAAGTCCTCAAACTGAGATAACTCAGAGTGTGTGATGGGACTTATCAGAAAACAGGAAGCAGCAACTGTCGACCTTTCCGTTTCCGGATCATTTGTATCGTATTAAATATAACTTTCTCTTCTGGTTTTAACTTAACCTCAATCGCACACCTGTTTCTTTTTACGTAGAAACAGAACTTCTGTGGTTTCCTTTTACAGCGTAGGTTGCATTTAGAGAATAAAACATCTGCCATTTCACTTCATGTCGCAAGAGGACAAACTGAAGCAGAGGTTGATACATATTTATTGTAAGGAGTTAAATAGATATCATTTTAAATAGTACAAACTACAGCAGGATATGCTCAGCCTGATATCAGTATGCAAAAGGCGGAGTTAGAGTATATTCAGGATTCAATAAGTGTGCAGAAATGGGAAGAAAGAAAAACATCGACCATTCCCACTTCCTCTAAGGGTGCTTTATAAGAACCCTCGCCCGTGAACGCACCGTTACTCATGCAGACACATTGGGTAGGGTGTGCGATAGACACATGTAATGTTTATAAGAAGTTCTTTGTGACTCAGGAACAACACTTTGCACCCTGAGGTGAACGCTGACTCAGAGACGCTGATTCTGCTCCAAGGTAGGTTCTTTTTTTAGAGGAATATGATTCATCCTTGTGATTGTTAGCCGAGGTTAGGTGCCCTTTCATCAAATCCTCCTTTGGACAGTCTTTTTTTTCTATTTGGGAAATCAATATGTTAGAACTCTAAATCATGAATAGGATCATTTCAGATGAAACAGATTTTAAATTGGAAATCATTCATAAAGTCATAAATGGTCTGGTGTTAGACTGTAAATGTAATGTATCTGTTTTATTTGTTTAGCAAACTAGCTGAGGCGGTTTATTCTCAGGCGCAGAACATTAGTCCATGCTATATGTTTTTGTATGTATGATAGAGCTGGGTGATAATTCCATATCATCCTTTTCATCCTAAATAGGATTGTATTGTGATTACATCATATGTTGATACACAATTAGAATCAATAGCACATACAAAATACATTTTTTAAGATAGTCTGATGAGACATATTTTGAGGGGATATCATTTGGAGATGCAGGGCTGCACAAATTGGAAAAGATACCCAACTGCGAACATTTTTGACTGATGTTGCCAATATAGAAGTAAAACATTTTTAAAAGATGAATTTGATTGAAGAGGATCTCTGCCAAAAAGATAGGTATCTGGATGTGAGCCAGGATGTCTCTGCAGCTCCACAATACCTCTTTTATAAAACATGCTATATTGGTGTCATTATGAAGATATGAATGGCATATCAGGAAGAAGACATATTACCTAGCCCCGATATAAATACAAATAACAGAATATAAATCTGCAGTATCATGGAAGATGCAGCTTACCGAACACAGCTTTTACACACAGCATACTGACATGCAGTGTTAATAACTCGGATTCTGAGAATGTCATTGTTTCCCCCGCAGCCATGCTTTGTGAGGGCAGATTGTTGAGAATGACCTATGGCGAGCTGGAGGAGCTGGATCCTCTCCCTCCTCAGAACGCTCCCCAGAGTGTTTACGGTGTGCCGAGAGCAGCTGCGACCCTGGTGCCCGGCTCCAGCAGACACTCTCCACTCCTCCATCACAATTCCCCCGAGCTGACGGGTTGCTTGGACAACACCAGCGATCCGGTGGAGTTGTACATTTCCCCGCTGCAGTCCTTTGACGTCCTGGCAGCCCGGCCATGCAGACAGATCTCCCCGGAGATAGAGATCCCGGCTCTGGCTCGCTCACTGGGCGACGCTCCTTTCTTGGTCCCCTCCTTCTGTCAGAGCATCTGCCAAAACTACAGCGACCTCCATATTGGAGGCGACCATGTGCTGCCTCTCTCCACCAATGACGGTGAGATCCGAGTCTGTCCTAAGGCGAAGGCTGAGGGCCCTTTCCTCCACTCCTGTGATGTCCCCTCAGCTGTGGAGGACTCTCCCCCAGGACACGCATCTCAGGGTGGGCTCCTGCATCCTCTGAGGGGGGGCTCAAATCGCTGGAGAATGGGCAGTGCCCGAGATCGTAGCTTTTTGTTCCAGGGCCGTGAAGGTCCGTTCTCCAACTCTCTTCTAAATCACTACCTGGAGCAGAAACTGTTGGATTTGTACCAGCAGTACATGATGGAGAACATGGCCAGGGAAAGGGCCCCTGGTTCTGACTCAGACCCCATCCCTCTGCTGGGCTCAGAGCTGGTCCTCACCAGCCTGGACCAGATCACTCTGCAGCTGAGCCGGGAGGGGAACCTGGAGGCCGGCCTGGCCAAAGACCTGGTCCTCAGCTGCCTGCTGCGGGTGGCCGGAGACATGCATTCCAGCGAGATCAGCACCCCCTTCCTGCAGATCTCCAGTGAAGCGTCCAGGGAGCAGCTAACAGAGAACAGAGAGGAGAAACCGCAGTGAGAATTCTCCCTTTCAATATAGGTTGGTCACCAAAATAAAAGATGAAACTAACAACTTGTGTTTCTTTTCTAGTTTTTTAATTTTTTTTTTTAATAAGCTCTGGAGAGGATGGTGTTGTAAGAAAAATCTGATGCGTCAATGTTATGACAATCTAATGTGTCATCACTTAAGTTGTTTATGGGCTGGTGCATTTTTCACTTTCTAAAAAGGACAATAAAGACCGGAACTGAAAACTGAAACTGGTCTTAGCATGTTCAAACGGCTAAGTCTTTGCATAACGATAAACATAAATGTCTCCCTGTGGTTAGGGACAAGTGAAGAAGAACATGGTCTCACGTCCTTTAGGGAACTTTATATACAAGTTTGAAAATCAACAGGTTTTCTCCATTATCTTTTATTTAAATGGAATAAACTCATGCTGGAAGCAGAGATGCCCTCCACCTCAAAAGGTATTTTGCTTTTAGTCGCTTCACCTGGTTGTTTGACCTTCTCTGTGAATAATAATGTGCAGAGATTGACACTTGAAGGGCTGTTTAAAATACATATATTTTGGTAAAAGCATGTGGTTCAATATGTGGAAACTTGAAACCTCCCGTGCATATACCTATAAATGTAGCTTTTCAGATAAGCAGGAGGTTTCCAGTAGTCGAACTTGAAAAAGGATTCTGGATTCTCAAAGAGGTTGAAAGTGTAGAAGTCTTAATATCCCTCTTAAAAAATATGTTTGAAGGGCTCTTCAGCTACCTGTTCATATGCGAAGAGTATTGACATCTCTGATCAGAAGCTGAGAAGTAAAATAAAAATCACAGAGCAAGCCATTTTTACTGTGCACAATCAGATAGTATTACATGCCACCATTTTGCTTATGAATACATATATTGTTGTGCCTAAAGATGTATTACACATGTTGGTCATTCATGGTTATTCCCATGCTCTGCTGCCGATGATGAAATGTCATTAATGAGTCTGCAGTCTATTAAATGGGCACAAGGGGGAAGCATTATCACCTTACTTATTAACCCCGATGACTTTGACACACACCTTCTTCTCCTTTATTTTATTCCTCCTCCTCCTCCTCTTCACCATCTACCCCCTCCCTCCTTCACACAACATCCATCCATCCACTAATGCTATATCATCTGCTAATCCATGATGTCATCGGGACTCAGTTGTAAATCTGAAGCCACAGGCAAATGTAACACTGTGTCTGATACTGGTTTCTAAAGCTTGAGATAAGGTTATCTTCACCTCGTGATTTATTTTTAGAAAAATATTGCACTAGCACAAACGAGAAGCTCGGCAGGGCTGCAGACCGATGCAGAGACAATGTTATTTTTTCAGGTTTCCACGTATTCAAAAGGGCTTTGAAAGACCTGCAACTATTCCAGCTTCGTGCAGCCGTGGCCTTCTGAGGCAGCGTTTGATCAGCTTCCTTGTTTCCTGTCCAAACAGAGAGCCACAGGAGGAAACTGTGTTTACCGAGCCGCAGTCGGAGCCCTGTGAAGTCTCAAGGCCGCCAAGACACATGTTTGGTATTTCTGCTTCTATCCGGATTGAACATTCCAGGTACATGTTAGAGGAACCAAATCCTTACAGACCTAAACAAAAACACGCTTGTTTATAAATATGATTCACCTGATGCCAAGCTCGGCATCGTGAGCGTATTCAAACAAACTGATTCCACAGACCCTGGAAAAATGAAAAACAGACTCCTCTTATTCCAGTGGAAGTTAGGAATTGTTTACAGGGATGAAGGTAAGGTTACACACTGCAGTCTCTTACACACACAAGCTGCCAATATTTACCCTGAGATTCACCAAATTACACAATTTATTTACCTTTCCTTGTCAAAAGCTTAACAAACCTCCCACTGGGTGTTTTTATTTAGCTGCAAAAAGCATAAATAGAAGACGTTTTTTATTTTCTGTAATTAGCAGCAGTTTTCCTCTTAGAGAAAAAGTGAAACTGAGGTCAAAGAATAAAAGGTTAAAGCCATGAAATGAGAGCAGGGTCAGAAAACGGATAAAACGAACTGCAGCAATTTAAAAAAAGAGAAAACACCTCACACTTCTCTCATGGTCTATAGCGATGAAACTAAAAGGGGAGGTTGAAGTGTTGGAGCGCCTTTCAGAGGTTCATAAAGTAATTTCCTTGTCACAAAGAGCTTTTAACATGGAGGGCGGTAAAGGCAAGGTTGCAAGATTTCATATCAAAACCAAGGTCCCAGATACACTCTCACCATTGTGGCTTTAATGCTCTGTAGCACTCTATGGCTTACCTTCATTTAAAAAGCTTTTAGTATGTAGCCTTGTTAATTGGAACAGTCATATACTGTTTACTTAAATGTTTTTCCTCCTTTGTGATTTAAAAAGTTCTATCACATATTTTCAAGGCTTAAAGATAGTGGAAATGCTTTGAGCTCTTTTCTGTAGTGGGATAAACACATACATTTTCATAAAGGACATTTAAACAATTAAATAAGTTAGCTCATTTGATGTACAGCTGCTATAAGTGTACACTCACTAATGCCACACATGTGGAAAACATTTTAGACTACAGTTTGTATGTGGAGACGGTTAATTCAATTAGGTCCAGAAGCTGTGCTCTCACTCCTAATTTCTTCAGTGGCCTTGAGCAAATGTGTTATTTTTTTTCATCCAGCGGAGTGACCTAATGTCTAAGTGGCAGCTTGTGGGAACATTTAATGACAGCCCCTGCTCTGTATCTGGCTGATTGACACCGGGACACGTAGGTGGTGGAACGGGAGAACACACATTTCCCGGTCAGTTAGCCGCTCAAGGTTGCAGCGAGCCTGCAGCGGCGAGCGTGACCTTGGCAGAGCTCAAGCAGACAGAGAAAGACCTTGAGAGACAGCGGGCAGCAGGATCTGGCTCTCAAAGAGCTGGGGAACATAATGTGGTAATGCATGACTATATATCACAGTGCACAGTGCCTGACTGGCAACTGGATAGAAAAACACATTTGTATGCACTTGTATGTTTATTCTTCTTCACTACGGACAGGGCCATATATGCTTCTGCCAAGTGGGTTTTATATTTCCCCCCCAACAATGCTAACGCTTTCTCATGGTTATCTTTTATCTAATGACAAAAAGATTGTGGTTATTATCAGCCTGACCCCGTTTTCTGGATGACATACTCGTTCTTTTATCTTTTATTATTGTCTTTTGTTTTTATCTGCTACGTCCTGATTGCATAAATCATTATGCAACAAATGTCTTACAGGACATTTATGGAGGAATAAGGAATAAGTCTTCACACCCACATCACACATTGTTGTGGAGCATTATGTATTAAATGTTTACAAAGTTGATGGTTATATTATACAGATCCATTTTAAATCCAGTTTTGAATTCATTGTCGTCAGTAACATTAGTTGTAAGCAGCAGCATCTTTCTCAGACATTTTTGGATTGAAAATCATAAAGAAAGCTAAATCCATCCTTGCAAATGTGGACCATTTAAGACATTCAGTTTTCTGAAAATTAAAGGTCCCCTATTATACTGTTTTTCATCAATATATTATAGGTCTCAGATACAAAACATGTCTCTGAAGTGTTTGGCTCCAAACACCAAACAGATCATTGCAGCATTACCCATAATCCTCTCTGTTTCAGCCCTGTTTCAAAAGTGCTGATTCTCTGTCTGTTACTTTAGATGAAAATAAGGAGCCCCTCCCCACGCCCCTCTGAGGGATATCTGGTTAAAAAGAACACAATGGTGCTCTAGGAGGAGATTCATGTGATAAGGTGGGGGGGGGGGGGGGGTTACCTTGGTTGGTGATTGGCTAATGGTTACACAAGCCAACAAATCGTGATGACATCATAAAGTGGACAAAATCTGATCAGCTCATTTTCAGACAGGTTTTTATATAAATGGATCAGGACAAAAAGAGAGAGAATCTTTTTTCCTGGAATTTTCAGAATCTCTTTCCACAGAGGGGACACGTGGTGATGTAGAAAATACATGAACAAGTGGATTTAGCATAATAGGTGATCTTTAAGAGCAACGGGTCCAAGCTTTTCTTTATCCATACATCCATTGTTAA